TGTCTAGCTAGGGTTTTCCCCCTTTTAAAATTTTTACTTCAATTTTTTGTTTCTGGGCTGCAAAGATGACTCAGCAGTTAGCTGCTCTTCCAGAGGACACAGATTCAATTCCCAGCACCTACATGGTGGCTCACAGCCACCTGTAACTATAGTTCCAAGGGATCCAATGCCTTCTTCTGGCCTCCGCAGGCACTAGGCGCATGGTATATGGGTATATATGCAGGCAAGACATTAATACATATAAAATGGTTAGAAATAGCTTTTTAAAATTCCATTTTGTTGTTGTTTTGTGGGTTTTTGTTTTGTTTTGTTTGAGACAGGGTCTCTCTGTATAGCCCTGGCTGGCCTGAAACTATGTAGATCAGGCTGCCCTCAAAACTCTCAGAGATACACCTGCCTCTGCCTACTGGGTTTAAAGTCATGCTCCATCATAGCTGGATTTTTCTTTCTTTTAATTTTTTTTAGTGTGTGTGTGCACCTGTGTATACACGCGTGCACGCACATATGCACAGATGCCATGGTGCATGTGTAGTGGTCAGAGAACAAAGCCAGTCCTCTCCTACCATATGGATCCCGAAGACTAAATTCAGGTTGTTCATGGTCCCCTCGGCTTTCTTTCTTTCTCTCTTTCTTTCTTTCTTTCTTTCTTTCTTTCTTTCTTTCTTTCTTTCTTTCTTTCTTTCTTCCTTCCTTCCTTTCTTTCTTTGGTTCTTTCTTTTTAACACTTTGACACCCCCCCTAAATAAAATGAGCTATTCTTTTTTTTAAAGATTTATTTATTATGTATACAGTGTTCTGTCTGCATGTATGCCAAACACCAGAAGAGGGCATCAGATGTCATTATAGATGGTTGGGAGCCACCATGTGGTTGCTGGGAATTGAACTCAGGTCCTGTGGAAGAGCAGGCAGTGCTCTTAACCACTGAGACATCTCTTCAGACTCTCGGCTTGCTTTCTTATACAACCCAAGACCACCTGCTCAGCCGTGGCACTTCTCCGTGGGTGGGGCCATCCCTGGGCTGGTGGTCCTGAGTTCTATAAGAAAGCAGGCCAGGCAAGCCATGCGGAACAAGCCAGTAAGCAGTACCCTCCATGGTCTCTGCATCAGCTCCTGCCTCCAGGTTCCTTTTATCCCTCAGGGATGGAAGTGATGTGGAACTGTGGGATGACACAAACCCTTTCCTTCCTTAAGTCGCTTTTGGTTATGGTGTCTATCACAGCTCACAGCAATAGAATCCCTAAGACATTGTCCTCGTGGCTTTAATCCTGATGACTAGCCACTATAGTAAAAGGAGTTGTAAATAAAATCAATTTAAAATGAGGAAAATGAGGCTGGAGCAGGAGGCTCAGAAGGCTGAGGTAAGATTTGAACTCAAAACCAGCCACTCCTAGAACCTAGGGGTTTTTACATCTGAGAGCCCTTAAGATGGCTTCATATGTTACCCAGGGGACATTTTTAATTCCCATAGTATGTCTTATTGTGTGTCAGGAAAATGCAAGCCTCTTCTTTGCAGCAGCTATGTAAATTTCCTTTTTAAAACAGATCTTTCTAGGCATGATGGTACACATGCATCTGCCTAGAACTGGGGAGATGGAGGCTGGAGGATGACAAATGCTAAGAGTCCTGGGCCCTGCGACAATGTGGCTAGACCTCAGACACACTATGCTAAGCAGAGGAAGCCACACTCGGATGTAAACATTGCATGAGCCCACTCACAGATATGCCCAGAATAAACATGCTCACTGGGTAGGAAGCAGAGATGCAGTTTCCAGAGAGGCTGGGAGAGGGCCATGTGGGTGGAGACTGTTTCACGGTTGTATGGCTTCATTTGGGGGTGGCGAAGATATTTTGTAATTAAACAGTCACCATTTCTGAACTGTTCTCTTGAAAGTGGTAGATTTGGTGGCATGTCAACCTCACCTCACTAAATAAAAGCAGAAATTAAGTTTGGTAAAGGATGTTAACATTTTATTTGGGGATCAGAATCTGGGCTAGCTCAGCTTGGCTTCAAACTTGCTAATTTAGCTCAGGATTATCCAGAACTCCTGACCTGTGTGGCTCCACTTCCCCAGGATTAGGATGCTGGATATGCACCATCACAAGGTTTATGAAGTGCTGAGGATCAAACCCCGGGGGCCTTGTGCATGTTAGGCAAGGACTCTGCCAACTAAGATACATCCCTGGTCTCCACTGTCAATGCCTTTAAAGAAAAATAAGAAGTTGGTAAATAGCGCAAGAGGAATGGTGGTTAAGACAAATTACTGAGGTAATACTAATTTAGAAAATACGGTATCAGTGCTGTACTATATCTACTTAAGGCTCAGGCAGTTCCTGAGGGGCAGAGTGAAAGTCAGTCCCAACTGCTCTCTATTCCCCTGAAGCCAGCTTAGCACTTAAAAAAATACTTGTTGAGTTTAGCTCAGCCGGCTCAGCCCAGCTTAGTTAATTGAGTTAGGGTGAGCTGAGCCGGTCTTTGTAACATTGCCAGCTGGCTGGCCTGGAGGCACTCCAAATAGAAGATCCTGAGAATCCTGCTCGCTCATTCAACATGCTGCCACAAGGTGGGCTCAGGAGGGGCTGTGCCTCATTTTACCTGACTCACCTGGGTCCTGCTGGCGCCTTGGGAGCCCACCAGTTTTATAATAGAGCTGTGTTTGTGTGTGTGTGTGTGTGTGTGTGTGTGTGTGTGTGTGTGTATGTATGTATAATTTGATTGCACGTCCCTCAAGTGTGAACTCTGTAGATAACAACATTGCGTTGAAAAGTCAAAAGGTTGGACAGGCAGCCCTCGCCTGGGGCTTCTTTGCTAGCGGCTCTTAGGATGTACTTAGCGGAGCTTGTGTGGCGCTTGCTCATTCACACAATCTGATTGCCTGGGTTGAACCTGACAGAGACCTCAGCCAAGTCTCCTTTTCTCTTTTTTGTCTATGCACAATGAATAAAATAACAATGGGAGGCCCAGGGAGACAATGCATGTCAAGTGTGTAGGCACATAGCTCCCGGAACACTGGGGACTCACTCAGGGGTGGGCTCTAATGACCTCTAATGACAATTGGCATGGCAGAGAGGGCTGGTGTGCAGGGACCTGCTTTCTGGGAGTGGCTGTTTGTAAACACTCCCAAGCGAAGGCAGCACGTGGCTCACATCCAGTCTTTTGGAAGAGTGAAGTAGGCTCTGAGTGGGAGAGGGAAACAGACGCTGGCTGCTGGATTTTACCTACGGGGTGAACTTGAGAATGGAAGCTCGAGAACCAGGCATGATGCAGAGGTCCACCCTCTGGCTCTGCTTCTGTGTGCTGCCCCACACTGGGGAAGGTGTACAACTTGGGGTGATACAACAGGAAGGTAAGAAAGGGTGGGTGCAAGTCTCACTCAGAAACCTGCAACCCCCGCACCAGTTCCTAGACAGAGGATAGGAGGCAGTCATGGGGACGCATGGATTCTCACACTGCCTGGGCTCTCCTGCTGTGTGTGGTATACCCCAGAGAAACAGTCCCTGTTTTTCAAATTTAATCTAGAGAGTTCTTTATTTTTGTTAAAGTGTCTGCATAAATACAAGAAACTCTGCATTGCCCAAATACCCTGATGTCACAGGCCTCTGCTTCACTGGCTTCCTCCCTCCTGCCCTCCCAAGGATGTGATTAATACTGGATAGAACTCACGTGGCACAACAGGACTGGGCACACGGGACAGAACCCCGGGGGTCGAAGAGTGTCACAAGCAGTGTGGAGAAGGCACAGAGCAGAACTGGAGAGCCTGTGGGGTGTGTGCTGATTAGGGGTCTAATCAGGAGAACCCAGGAGAGCGAGGCTTTTGATTCTGGAAGTTTCAGAGCTGTAACCCAGGGTCTTGCTCACACTAGACAAGCACTCTCCCCCTGTACTCTGACCCCAGCCCACCAGCTGAAGATCTTCCTGTCTCCTGCTCCTGGGTGTTCACACTGGATCTTTCTCCACAGTTGGCACCTGTTCCTTCCCCTTCTGGTGGAACGCCCCAATCTTCTTTGGGGGAGTCTCTCTCGTCCTGCCCATGAGGTTTGTCTAGACTTTGCCTGCAACCAAAGGCCTAGAGCCCAGCTCATTGCACCCATCACCTCAATAATCGCTTTAGCAAGTGAGAAGAGTCTATAACAGCCCTCTGGCCCCAACCCTGGGACTTTTGCAGAAGCCACCAAGACAGATTTGACTTTGGGGAGATGTGTTAAGCAGGCAGAGGTCCCATCTAAACATGAAACCAGAAGGAGGCAAACCCGAACCAAGCAGATGGGGAGGGGGCATATTCTGGATGCTCTCACTGAGGACCTGGATCCAGCCATGGCGGAAGCCCTGCCCCTCACTTTTGATGGAAATAATCCCAACCACTTTGTATCACACAGGAGTCCATTTATGTCACGATTGGGTCATTTTGCAACTGAAACCTCATGACTAATACACAGGGGTCACTTAACCTTTCTAACTTCCTGTTTTCCCACCTATTAAGTGTCTCAAAATCTGTATACCATTCCGTTAGCAAATCTAAAAAATAAATACCATATATGCAGTACTGAGGCGACATTGGCTATGAGGTCTTTAAAGTGTTTATCAGTTGGTGTATGTGTGTGTGTGTGCAGGCCAGAGATCGTGTGTATGAGTGTGTGAGCATATGTGCGTGTATCTGTGTCAGTGCCTGTGTGTGTGCAGGCCAGAGGGTTTGTGTGTGTGTGTGTGTGTGTCAGTGTCTGTGTCTGTGTCTGTGTCTGTGTCTGTGTCTGTGTCTGTGTCTGTGTATGTGTATGTGTATGTGTATGTGTATGTGTATGTGTATGTGTGGAAGCCAGGGGTTGACACTGGGGTATCTTCTTCCATCACATTTTACATTGTGTTTTTGAAACAAGATCTCTCACTGAATCTGAGCTTGGGTTTCAGTGAGTCTGGCTGGCCCACAAGCTCCAGGGATTCACCTGTCTCTGCCCCTCTCTGCTGGAGTATTTACTACTTTTAAAGCAAACAAAACAAGGAACGGTTAGTGTCAGTCCCACTTTATTGTACAAAAGAGGAAGAGTGTGACAGACAAATGTCTGTTACCAGCAGGAGTGGAGAAAGTGGAAGGAAGCCACAGGCTAACCAGAAACACCAGGGGCATCACAAGCAGAGCCTCTGCTTTGGAGTTTACCGTTACATTCAGGGGAGATGAAGGTGGCTGTGGTCACAAAAGTCCTACCAAGGAGACTGGGTCAGAAGGGAGCACGAGGTCATACAAGTCTCCATTCTGTCAAGGCCACAGAAAACCTGTAGGAGGAGTGTGTTTGTGTGTGTGTACGTGTGTGTGTGTGTGTGTGTGTGTGTGTGTGTGTGTGTGGTCCAGAGGTCTTGAGCAAGCATCTGGCTTCCTGGCCAACTTCATATATGAGGCCATGTCTTCCCTGGGAGAACATTCTAGCTGCCATTGGTCTACTCAGGAGCACTGGGAACTGAAATCCCCCACCTTCCTTGTTACAGCTGTTGCACAGAATACACGGGGGAGGGGGATTTCCCACCTAATATTTCCCAACCACTCAAATGTTTCATTTCCCATTGTCTGCCAGCTCTCCTCAGAGCTCAACGGTCGATGTGCAGCAGACGTGGGCTGTTCCCCCGGAGTCCCAAAGTGCTGTCTCTTGCTTCTCTCTCATATAGGGAAGCTGGCACCAGCAGGATGCAGACTCAGCCAAGGAGTAAGGTCTATTAGTCAGTTAGTGATGCATGACAGCGGAGGGTCTAGGCCAGGCTAGGAATGAGGCTCGGTATTGCCACTGTAGCTGTTGATGCAACAACTGTAATAGAAAGAAATTCCTTCTGTGAACCTGAAATACTTCACAAAATATACTCCACAGCATCACCATCTCCTCCCACCCCACCCTGGTGTCAAACTTGCAATGTCACTGAGAATGACATTGAATCCTTCACCCCCAAGCGCTGGGGTTACAGGTGTACACTACCACACTTGGTTGTGTGGTGCTAGAAATTGAGCCTAAGGCTTTGTGTATGGGAGACCAATAACCTACCAACTGAGCTACATCCCAAACTCATCCATGTTTCACTTTTGTGTTAAGCATTCGTTTGTTTGCATGTATGTGTGCTAGCCCACAGGAGGTCAGAGAACACACCACAGGAGTGAGTTTCCTACTTTCAGGGTGTGGCTTCATGGGTCATCATCAGGCTTGGCGGCAAGGGCCCTTTACCTGTTGAGCCATCTCACTAGTCCCCCTTCTTAAAAAAAAAAAAAATCTAAACTTCAGAGGCTGGAGAGATGGCTCAACAGCGAAGGGCACTAGCTGCTCTTCCAGAGGACCCGGGTTTGATTCCCAGCACCCACGTGGCAGCTCACAACTGCCTGTAATTCCAGTTCCAGGAGGTCTGACTCTCTCTCTCTGGCTTCCTCAGGCACCAGGCACAAACATGATAAAACAGACAAACACACAGGCAAGACATCCATACACATAAAACAGACATAGAAATTTAAAATCCAAATTTAAAACACTCCCTCATTCTCGGTGTTTTGATGGACTTCCATGTTATATTCCCATATGCCTTTGTTCACAAAATATAATTGATCTTGGTGATTGATGAATGGATGGATGAATTGAAAAGTGCCTGTTTCAAGGAAAGCAGTGCATTGGGCATTTTGGAGATCAAAGTGTAAGGGGCCTGAGGGTCCAGGCCTGGTAGCACAGGTCTATATTCCCAGGAATTTGAGATTCTGAAGCAGTAGAATCACAAGTTCATGGCCAGTCTGAACTTGTATTCAGTGAGACCCTGTTTCAAAATAAAACATAAAAAGAGGGCTGGGGTATGACTCGGGTAAGGTGCTTGCTCAGTATATGTTAGGTCCTGATTTCAAATCCAGTACTGAGAAGAAAGAAGAGGAAGAAGAGAGAGGAGGTGGCAGCGGCAGCTGGGCATGCTGGGATAACTTAGTTTGGTGTCATGTACTTATAATACAGACCCTTGGGAAATTGTGGCAGGAGCTTGGGGCCAGCCTGGGCTACAAACACCAGAGGCCAATAAGACACAGACCTGTCCATAGGAGCCCACAGTCTGGGGTGGTGGCAACAGAAGCTACAAGGCAAGAAGGATTGACAGAAACTCAGATTTATGCCCAGTGTGTCATGATTGGAAGGTAAGTGGGAATTACCAGACAGGCACATACATTCGGTCTGTCAGCAGTTCCTATGCTCTGAGCACACAGCGCGTTTGTTCAGAGTTCTGGCAAGGCTTGGTGCAGGGAGCATGAGCTGTTTCTGTGGGGATACCGTAGGGTGAAAATGCCTGTAAACATCCCGTCTCTAGGGCCATGCTCTGCTCAGCAGAGGTTGCCCCAGTAATGAGTTTAGCTCTCATGCTATTCATTCAGCCTACCGTGAAAGCCACAAATATTTACTGAGCACTTAGGACATGCCAAGTAGAGGCTGGGGACACTGGGGACACAGAAGTGCCTGCTGTCAACCTGTCCCTTGCTTTTTGGACTTCTCATACCAGCAGTCAGAGAGTTATTAAGCACACACAACGCAAAGTGAAATGAAGAATGGCGGAACACATGTGCGAGAACTGGCACACAACCCCCCCTGCCCCCCCCCCCGGGTCTGTTATCCACCTGATGCCAGGTGCACTAAGGGAATAAATTACGGCAGACTTCAGGGACTGACCAGAACAGACAGCAAAAGCCACAGAGAGAAGTGACAGCTCTGGTCCCCAGTTTACACAACACATTTTTAGATCCGGAGAGATCTGGAAGGTGCCAGGCAGACCAGGACTTAACTTAGCACTTCTCTCCTTTCTCAGGGGAGACTCAAAATCCCACATAGTAAGAAAGGCCAGAGTTACTATGACCTGTTTATATTGACGATGGAAGCCAGAGGGGCTGACGAGATGGCTCCTCAGGTTAAAGGAGGCTTGTAGCCAAGCCTGACAACCTAAATTAGAGAGAAATGATACCCACAAAGTTGTCCTCTGACCTCCACAAGCATGTCATGAGGCTCACTCCCCCCATGTACACAAAATAAATAAATACATAAATAATAAATAAATAAATACCTGACAAGGGGCATGAAAAGGGTTAGAGACATAAGCAAAGCTAGGGCTATCATATCTTCTTAGCGTGCAGAGGAGAGTGAAATCTCACCAGGAAGAGAAACAATCTTCAGGCTACAGTGTCACGGAGGCTGAGGACAGAGACATGGGTTCCAATCTGTGCCATTGACACCTCCTCAGATCCCTGACTTCGATATTGCCAGGGACATCGAACTCCCATTTTGCAGATAGGCAGAGCCGGTCTCGAAGGACTCAAAATCAGCAGCAGACAGAATTGCCTGATTCCTGAGTCTGCAGAGCTCCTACTGGACAGAGCTTTGTCCTCGGGGTGGCCCCAGGGTGACTGGGCAGATAGGTGCTGCCGAAAGTAGCCTGGAGGCAGAACCCAGGGCCTGAGCTTGCAAAAACTCGAAGAGGAAACGTGGCCCTGCCCACCCGTTTTCCAGGACAGAAACCTCTGTCCTCTGCCTGCGCTGGCCTCTGTCACACAATAAATAACGCCTTAGAGGAGGGGTGGCGTGAGCCAGGCAGTAAGTGATACCGCTGTCAGTCCCACCATCCTGTTGGAAGAAACACACTGTAATCATGCCACTGAACCCTGAGAAAGACATTTGGCAAATGAGTTCCCATTTTCACATTGGATTGTGCTGAGCATATCAATTTCCCGCGGGCCGGCCAGCGTTGGGGATGTGTAATTGATTGCCCGCGTTATAATAAACAAGCCGTGACAGGCGATCATTCATCACGGGCCGCTGAACGTTCCAGCGACGCCGGGAAAGAGGGAGTGCGGGAGCCAGGGGAGAGGAGGAGAGAGCAACGCCCGAGAGGGCGGGGAGAGGGGACGCCAGGGCCGTAATTCTTTTCATTATCTAATTTGTTCTTACTGGCCTGGGTCCTCCCGGAACCCTTCCACAACGTAGGAAGCACCCCCTCCCCCAGGAGGCCTGGGGGGAGGGGCGGCGAGGGGCGGGGCGAGTTGTAATGTGGGTGGATTTGTCCAGGAAAGGGAGGGAGGGGTGTGTGCGCGCAGGACTTCGCTCCTTCAAGACCCGGCCTCCAATGGATGCTTCCGAAATTTAAATTTAAAATAAAACAAAAGAAACGTCAGGGGTGTTGTTTAATAAAACAAAAAAGCAAAAAAAAAAAAAAAAGAAGAAGAAGAAGTCTTTTTATTGGAGAAAAGGAGAGAATCAGATTTGGCATCGACTGGGACTCTGGTCCTGGTCCCTGCCGACCTCCCTCCCCGGGACCCTGAATGGTAAAGGTACTAGGCATGTGCCAGCGGGGAGGGCGTGGACGGACCTGGCTGGTGTCCTCAGGTCTCACCCTGCCAGTTTGCAGTCCCTTCCCTACGCTCTCGGCAGCCTCTCAGTCCTAGGTACCAAAGCAATCCGCCCAGGGCCAGGGAATGGAGGGGCGGAGCCTTGCTGACAGAGGCGTGGTCATGTGAGAAGGGGAGGGGCAAGGAAGGAAGTGGAGTGTTTCTGAGGGACTCAGTATTGTTGCTTGGTGTTGTTTTTAATTTTTTAAAATTAGGCGGCCATAGTGGTGCACATCTTTAATATCAGCACTCGGAGGAAGAGGCAGGTGGATTTGGGAGGCTGAGGCCAAATGATCTACATTGAAAGTTCCAGACCAGCCAGGGCTACAGGAAGACAATGTCTCTTTTTTGTTGTTGTTGTTAGAGTTCGTTTGGTGGGGTCGTGCACGTAGAGACTAGAGGACAATTTGGGCAAGTCAATTCTCTCCTCCCACTTTGTTGGCCCTAATGGTCCAGCTCAGGCAATGTGGTTTGGCTGCAATGCTTTTGCATCATGAGCCATCTCGCCAGGCCATCACCTAGTATCTTCGAGGTGATAAAGAAGGGTAAGCTTTAGCAACTCTGAGGACCTGCATCTGAACAGGCCCCCAGCCCCCAGGATGGCTTCCCTTTGTGCAACATCTACCTTGTCCCCGAAGGAAGAACTGCTCATCTGGGGCCCCAAGACATTCGTGGAGGTGTCGGAGCAGGCCCATGGGCTTGTCTCTTCCCAGAACAGCACTGCCTATGAAGTGGTTTTGCAGGGGAGAAACTGAGACACAAAGAAATAAATGGGCAATGGGAAAAAACTAAAACTCAATCTTGACTGTATCGCCCTCTAAAATACATATATAGGGGCTAAAGAGAAGGCTCAGCGGCTAAGGGAACTCTCACTACTCTCCCAAAGTGTGTGTGTGAGTGTGTGTGTGTGTGTGTGTGTGTGTGTGTGTAAGACAGCATAATTTAGCATTTTAAAGTGCATCACTCCATAGTCATGTGGCTGTGTGGCCATCACTACTCCATGTACTGAACCCTATACTGTTAGCAGACATTCATCATTTGGTCCCCCTCCCTCTAAGCCACCATTTCCTTTCTGTCTCTGTGGATTCTCCTACTCGAGCTGTCGTATGAGCAGAGTCAAAGGTGATCTTTTGTTTCTGTTTTCTTTCACTTAATGGAATATTGACAGAGTTCATTGGTGGCATAGCATTCCTTTTATGGCCAAGTAATATTCCATTGTGTGAATAGACCACATTTTGCTAATCCATTATCTGTTGGTCAGCACTGAGGTTGTTGTCACCTTTTGGCCAGAGTGGATATCTCCTAGAGACACGTGTAGATACTGCTTGACCACCTATTTTTTGATTCTTTGGGGTATATGCTTAAAAGAATTGCTGGGTCATATAACAACTCAGCATTTAGCCTGTTAAAGAGTTGCCAAGCTGCCAACAACACTTGCTCATTTCCATTTGTTTTGCCTTCCCAGTGGTTGTGCCTGTGTACAGTGTGTGGTCCCCCTACCCCCACTCCTCCACCTTCCCACTCCCACCCCAGCCTCCTTCCAAGTCACAGTGTCTAACCTAGAATCTCTCCTAATGCAATGTCTTCCTCCCCTTGCCCATGGGTTCTGACTCGCCCTCACCTCAGGGCTGGACCATGGCCCCTCTGATGTCTTGTTCCCATAGACCCCTTTATGTAGCACCCAGTTGGCCCTTGTTTTACATCTAGAGACAAAGTTTCACTATGTAGCCCAAGCCTGCCTCAGCCTCTGAAACACTAGGGTGATAGGTGTGTATCACCACACCAGCCTTTGGGGTTCAGATCTCTGTTTCCTTATGTTAGCTGGTTAATGTCCACCCTTAGACTTAACCTACAACCACCCCCAGCCAAGGACCTGTTTGTCACTCTCTGTGTCCTTAAGCCAGCTCCTCGTAGACTATATGTGGAGAGTGGACAAAGGGACAATGATCCTTGTGAACTCTCCTTTCTTTTTTCCTACTGTCTGTTAGGATGCACAAACTGCCATGCCTTAAGAACTGAAAAAGTCACTTTGATATAATAATTTGGAGATCAGCAGACTTGCTGCCACTAATGCCAGCTGCTCTTCAGAGCCGCCATGGATTTGACCAGGAGGCCTGAGGTTAGTGTAGAACTATGTTCATTCTGCCCCCCTCCACTACCCTCCCTTGTTCCTGAGGGTCCAGGCAGATTATGATGTGTTTGCTCAGTGTAGACATGATCTTATCATGACAGGATGACCTCTGTTTTTTGCCAAACCATTCATTTTTATGTAGGTACAGTAACCATGACAAGCTTCATGGCTTTCCACAGTTCTGGGTCAGCCTGAAGGTCAGGTCTGGGGGATGGTATGGAACCTTATCAACTAGAACATGATATCACCACTCTGCATCCATGTGCAAAGGGCTGAGAGAAGAGCGTTCCACATTCATGCTGCCTCTTTCTTCTTCAGAGACACAAGTGATTCTGGCCATCTCTGTCCTGAGAAATACTTACTAGTCACTTTCCACCACATCCATCTGCAAGCATGGGAAACAGGCTCCGGGATGAGAAGCATCCCCAGCTTGCTGCTCTCCAACAGGGCAGCTGCAGGCGGGCTCCTTTGAGAGCCTTTCTACCTCTTTCCAGTCACTGCAGTCTCCATTAGTTTGATTAAGACAATTGATTTATTCATTTTTAGTGGCAGAGAGAGAGGCAGGGGAGAGAAAAAAAAAAAACCCAACATGCCATTTGTATGATGCAAACATCTCTAGAAAAAAACTAAAAAACATTGTGTCATGCAGATTTTCTTACTACCACAGTCAATCAACTGTCTGTCCGAAGTGCAACAGTTCATCCACCCAGCCCAGAGAGTGGGAGGGAAGTCCCCAGGTGCTAAGGACCCAGGAGGGGACTCTGCTTCTCAATCCTCTAGCTTTCATGGCAAGGCTAAAGGCACACTGACAGGCAGAGTCACCCCTCCTTTGTTAGTATATTGCTTTGGGGGAAACTTCTGGAATCAGAGAAACTTGACACTGGCAGGGGAAGAACATTAGCATGGAGGAACACAAAAGTATTAGAAATGCGCGCGTGTGGTGTGTGTGTGTGTGTGTGTGTGTGTGTGTGTGTGTGTGTGTGTATTCACCGATTTGGCTGGCCAGCAGCCCCCCAGGGTCCACCCATGTCTGCCTCCCCAGCACTGGGATTATAAGCACACAACACCATTGCTGAGGTCATTTTCACGGCTGCTGGGGATTCAAACCCATGTGTTCATGCTTGCACAGCAAGCACTTTATCCACTGAGCCATTCCCCAGCCACTGGCATTGCCTCTTAAACTGTCCAGTTTCCCTAGGGGAGAAAACAGGGAGTGTGACTCAAAGGCAGATGCAGATCGCTTGCCTCTAGGTCACAGGACTCTGGGTTGGATCTGAAACACTGAAAAGAACAAAGCAAAAGCAAAACAACAAGAAGGAAAAACCAGATACATCACTTTCTCCCGCTGAGTCTCCCTGAAGCCTGGGGATCTCAACGTGTCCCACTCCCACCAGTCCTTATACTCCCACCATCTCAAAGCCTTTAATCCCATGATTCTTCTGTTAGGAATTTAGCCCAAGAAGATCATGGCAGATGCCTAAAAAGATGTAGTTACAGATGTTTCTCCCTCCGTGTAGATTATGACTAGAGATTGGAAACAACCTCAGTACCCAATCAAGCAGATAAGCAACCTGCCTGCGATCCCCTTGTAAGCCCTGCTCACAGCCAGGAAGAAACAAGAGGGGATAACCTTAAACAGACACTGAGTTTCTCTGGGTGGGGAGGGAGGGCACGTGAAGGGTAAGGATTTGAGTTAGGATGGTCTATTCAAACCCATTTAAACTAGAAACATTGTATCACTAAGATCAGGAAGTCATCAATGAAACCAGAAGCTGCATTCTGGGAGAGCAACTGCCTTTGAAGGGCCCGTTCCATGGTGCTGGGAGGTTAAGTGGATTTTTGTATTAAAATACACTGTAGGCTGGAAGGAACAGGCCCTTGGGAGCCATGGTGGACTCTTGTTTGTTTGAGACAGGGCCTCTGGTAGCCCAGGCTGTCCTCAAACTCACCATGTAGTCTAGGATGACCTTGAACTCCTGATCCTAAGTGCTGGAGTTGGCATATAGAACTATACCCAGTTTTAAATAGTGCTGCTGATGAAACCCAAGGCTTCTCCAATACTAGGCAAACATCCTACCAACTCAGCCACTGATACCCTCAGCCCTACTGTAGGCTCTTGAACAAGAAGAAAACATAGCCATTTCCAAGTCATAAGAAGAGCCAGTCCACAGTGCCTGTATGAGTCTGTGCTCCAGGGTTTGTTTTTTTAGGGGGTGGGGGGGTCCGATTTTGTGAAATTTGAGGAAAAGCCAGAGGTTCTTGAGAATTAGAGAACCCAAGTTTTCGAAAAGCCTTGGGCTTGCTCTCAGTGCTCTGTTAGAAAAAGTACAGTGAGGATTTCACCTGACTGAGTCTCACAGGGAGTCAGGAAGACGCTGGCTGACATAGCAGTGGTC